CAATTCCAATTTTAAGGAGCTCTGGTAGCGTAGCGGTCACGAATCGGGCTGCGAACCTGAAGGTCAGCAGTTCGAAACTACCAGCTTTTCCGCGGGAGAAAGATGAGGCTTTCTGCTCCTGTAAAGATTTACAGCCTTGGAAACCCTGTACAGGGTCACTGTGAGTCGGAACCAACTCCACAGCACATAATCACTGCCCCCACCAATTCCAGTTTTAGCAGCAAAATCATCTATTGTATCTTTTGATTGTTGCCAACAAAACTCAAGAGGCCAAGATAGAAGCAGCATGGCTTTTCCTAGATTTGAATTTCCAGTGATTATGTGGGCTCTCTCTCATGCTAGGTAATAATGTTATGGTCTCCTCCTTGAGAAAGTAAGTAAATATTGTAATTTCTTCAATTTGAGGAATAATATGTAATTCTAGGTATTTTTTTTTTACAGGAGACACAAAAATAATAAAGTTGGTTGTGTTAGCTAATGTAGAAAACCATATTCAGGATGTTTAATGGGTAAGGTCAGAAAGGTTAGGCAAAAATAGACTGCCAACAAATTAGAATAAAATTACTTACATCAAATTATATATGGAGAGAGAAAGAGGCCCGTGGGTGGGAGACGGCAGTAGTGAGTGGCCATTGTCCAGTGAGAACTGCCCCGGAAAGCCATGTGGCACTTTCCCTTACCTCCTGGCACCGTTCCCCGACTCCTGGGGTGTGCAGCTAAGAATCTGGGAAAAGCGGGCAGTCTCCCTGAGGTCGTGAGCCCGGAGCTGCCCCCAGGGCTTGGGCAAGGGCACGTGACCCGCAGCCGCCCTGCCAGCCTTCTTTCTTTCCCGTTAGGAATTGGCAGCGGTGGTGGTAGTAGTGGCAATGGGAAAAGGGAACAGTGCTCTGGGTGGGGGTGGATGGTAGGGTGGGGGGCAGGAATCGACAGGGAAGGGGATCACACCACTATGGAGGACAAGGTGTTCACCTAGGAGCTGGACCAGTGGGTCAAGCAGCTGAGTGAGTATAAACAACTGAACTAGAACCAAGTGCGGACAGTGTGAAAAGGCTAACGAAATTTTAACAAAAGAGTCAAATGTGCAAGAGGTTTTTTGGTTTGTGGAGATGTTCATGGTCAATTCCATGATCTTATGTAACTCTTTAGGATTGGTGGAAAATCACCAGATACAAACTATCTATTTATGGGTGACAATGTAGACAGAGGTTACTATTAGGTGGAGACTGTGACTCTTCTTGTGTCATTAAAGGTGCGTTATCCAGAACGCATTACAATATTGAGAGGAAACCAAGAAAGCCGACAAATTACCCAAGTATATGGTTTTTATGATGAATGTCTGTGAAAATATGGAAATGCCAATGTTTGGAAATATTTTACAGATCTATTTGATTATCTTCCACTTACAGCTTTAGTAGCTGAACAGCTTTTCTGCCTCTATGGTGGCCTCTCTCCATCCATAGATACATTGGATCATGTAAGAGCCCTGGATTATTTACAGGAAGTTCCACATGAAAGTCCAATATGTGATCTGCTATGGTCAGATCCAGATGATCGTGGTGGGTGGGTTATTTTTTCACGCGGTGCTGGCTGTACTTTTGGACAAAACATATAAATTTCTGATACATTTCACACTGGTTTCTCGTGCTCACCAACTTGTAATGGAGGGGTATAATTGGTATCATGATCAGAATGTGGTTACCATTTTCATTGTACCCAATTACTGTTACCCCTGTGGGAACCAGGCTGCTATTATGGAACAAGATGACTCTTTAAAATATTCCTTTCTTCAGTTTGTCTCAGCACCTTGTCGTGGAGAACCTCATGTAACCAGACGCACCCCTGACTACTTCCTGTAACTTACTCCAGGGAAAACCTACCTTTGTATATGGAAATATACTTGGCTTATATATATATTTTTTTTTTTTAAAAAAACAAAAAAAGCACCATAATCTATGTGTTTCTGTAACAAATTGGGATCTGTCTTGGCATTAAGCCACATCATGGACCAAAATGTGCTATACTAATGATGACCATCTAGCACAATTTAGACTGAACTTCAGTACAGCCTATGTTCTAGATCATAGTGTAATAACCACTTTCCTCTGAACTGGTCAAACAAAAAAAGGTAACTAATTCCGTCATCTCCTTTGCACTTAGTTGAGATTTTAGTTACAGTGTTTAAATGGCATGGATTAATAAAGTTGGAGTTTTATTTTAAAGAAAATCCACAAGCTAATTTCCAATTAATCTATTATCCTTTGTTTTATTGAAATGTATAATTAACTGAAGAAAAGATTCTTCTTGGGAGTATGTTTTCATAACTTTTAAAGAAATTTCCCTTCATTTAAACTAAATTACTATTTTATGTTGATCTGAATATTTTGTATATTGACATCTTAGTGATTGCATCCTACATGGTGTACTGAGCAAATAAACTCCATTTTAAACAACAAAAAAAATGTTATATATGTAGATAAACAGACCAAACTGTGAGAGAAAAGTTGAAAAATACCGATTTTAACAGAAGTATAATTTATGCAAATACCAGAAAGAAGTGTACTTGTATTTTATTGACTATGCAGAAGCATTCGACTGTAGAACCTAACAAATTTTGCTCCTGAGGACTTATACAGAGACCAAGAGGTATTCATTCGAACAGAACAAGGGGACACTGAATGGCTTAAAATCAGGAAAGGTATGTTCCAGGTTGTATCATTTCACTATGCTTATTCAGTCTGTATGCTAACAAAATAATCTAAGATGCTGGATTACATGAAGAAGAACGTGGCATCAAAATGGGAGGAATACTTATTAACAACTTGGGATACTCATTTGACACAACCCTGCTTACTAGAAGAAAAGAAGACTTGAAATACTTACTGATGAAGATGTCCTGCAGGACGGATTACGCCTCAATGTAAAGGAAACAAAAATCTTCAGCACTGGATAAATAAATAACATTATGATCAATGGAGAAAAGACTGAAGCTGTCAAAGACTTCATTTTGCTCGGATCAACCATCAGCATTTCTAGAAGTAGCAGTCAAGAAATCAAACAATGTATTGAATTAGGCACATCTGCTGCACAAGATCTCTTTAAAGTGTTTAAGAGCAAAGATGTCAGTTTGAGCACTAAATTGTGTCTGACCCAAGCCTGTGATATTTTCAGTAGCCTCATATGCATGTGAAAATTGGACAATGAATAAGGAAGACCTTTAAAGAATCTTTAAGAAGAATATTTAAAGAAGCATGCACTGCTAGAAGAACAAACTAATTTGTGTTGTAAGTAGTACGGCCAGAATGCTCCTTAAAGCCAGGATGGAGATTCTTTGTCCCTCTTACTTTATAAATGTTGTCAGGAGGGACCAGACCCTTTGGAAAATGGACTTGTGCTGTTAAGTGCAGCTGAGTCAGTTCTGACTCATAGCAGCCTGTGCATTCTGTATACACACAGAATGAAACACTGCCTGTTCCTGCGTCACACTCACAATTGTTATGTTGGTGCCCATTTTTACTGCCTCTGTATCAATCCGTCTTGGTAGTGGTCTTCCTTTTTTACGCTGAAAAAGAGTAAGCCAAAAATAAAAATTGTGAGGATGAAGCAGGCCCTGGTGGGCAGTGTTTCGTTCTGTTGTGCATAGGGTTGCTATGAGTCATAAATAGCTTAATTTACCTGAAATAGTATCATTTGTTACAATCTTTTTGATTGAATAAATATACTTTGTTATCTGAGTACCTAAGGAGCTCTGGTAGCGTAGTGGTTACGAATAGGGCTATGAGCCTCAAGGTCAGCAGTTTGAAACTACCAGCTGTTCTGTGGGAGAAAGATGAGGCTTTCTGCTCCCGTAAAGATTTATAGCCTTGGAAACCCTGTGCAGGGTTGCTATGAGTCAGAACCAACTCCACGGCACATCACCACCACCACTACCTGAGTCCTGGTAGCATAGTGGATTATGTTGTTAACCACAAGGGAGAAAGATGAGTCTTTATGTTCCCATAAAGATTTACAGCCTCAAATCCTATACAGCAACTGACTTCACGGCGCACAACTACCACCACCTGAGAAAATGTGGCTTTTTACCTATAGCAAAACAGATCTTAGTAGTTTGTAATGATGAAAAGTACTGTGATTTTAATGTACACAGTCTTAAAAATGGTTTTAATATAGTATAGAAAACTGTGTGTAATTAAAAAAAAACTTACCGTGTAAGGTAATTTGGAATGTTAGTAAAACTATCCTGGTATAACTTTGTTGTGATAGTGAAATTAAGTAGATAAAGTCTTAGATTTATTGTTGTTGTTGTTAAGTGCCATTATTGGTTTTGACTCATAACCCTATATAGGGTTTCCAAGGAGCAGCTGGTGAGTTTGAATCCTCAACCTTGTGGTCCAGTGCTTTATCCTATAGTACCACACCAGGACTCTAATACAGATGCAAAATTAAGTGCCCATTGTTTTTATATATATTTAATATATGAACCATGGAGTGCTGGTGCGGTCCTGTAGGATAAGCACCAGACTGCTAATTCAAAGGTTGGTGGTTCAAACCACCGCCGCTCCTCAGAAACTCTATACAAGGTCACTGTGAGTCTGCACCAACTTGATGGCACTTAACAATTCAGTATATGAACAGTGGTGTCTTTGAATATCTTATATAAATACAATTTTTAATGTATAGCTACTAAACTCAGAATTCTGGTAATTAAAAATAAAAATTTGTTTCTAATAAAATTTCATTCAAAGCCTAGACTTGATTTTTTAATCGCTGGCAATAATAACACTTTGCTTTTCTCATTGTGGTTCCTAGATTATAAGGTGATTGAGACAAATAAATTTAAAATGAGTGACCCACAATCAATATTCAGTTACAGTTAATTTTCTTTTGTCCTTTATACAGTATTTAGGTATATTTTTATGGAAACTTATTCCTAAGAGAAGTTTGACAGTATTTTTAAGAGTTGAAATAATAATGGTTGTAAAACTTCTTTTTAACATTTTTAGAAGAAACCAAAGACACAGAGGCTCCCACAGCACCTCAGAATAGCCAGCTAACGTGGAAGCAAGGGAGACAGCTGTTACGACAGTAAGTAATGATTTATTTTCGGCTTTCCTTTAGGATCTGCATATGAGTGTGCTTATATTTAATCTCTTTTTAAGTTGAAAAAAAATATTTACTTATGATGTAGCAATGTTTTAAAAAAATAATTTTTACTCATTTTGCATCTAGGATGTTTTAGTTCCTCCATTTCAAGTTGATACCATTTTCTAATATCCAGAACAAAAACAATACACAGTTTAAACTTATATACATTCCTTTCCCAACACTGCCAAATTCACACATTAGGATTTCTTTTAAATGGGGTGTGACTGAATTAGAGAAATTTATTAACTGATTAGCTGAAACTTTTCAGAAGTGGCTTGTCAACTCCTACTTTGAAGTAATTTTTTCAAACTATTGTACAATAGAATAAAAATGGCTATTTTAACCATTTTAATGTATGTAATGCAGTGACATCGATTAGTCAAGTCTGTGTGAAACTCCTAAAAACTAAACATAAACTTGTCCAACAGTTTTTACACTTGCAGTTCATTGACAAAGGGTACGTCCTTTTGTCGTGTAACCATTCTCACTGTCGCTACCCATATTGTTTCACCACTGTTAGCGTATACTCTTCTGCTTTCCTTTTTGTAAATGCATCCAAATTTCTTAATGATTACTTCAATTTCTGATGTGCCATTAAAAAGAGATCTGGGCTAAAAAGAAATGACTGAGACCTGAACATATTTTAGCAAAAACAGATTTTCTGGTTGAAATGGTACCTGGGACAGCTAACAGAATTCAGGGAAGTACTGAACAACTGAACATCAAGAAAGCTAGAGAAGCTCTGAGGACATGTGTGATTGGAAATGCCCAGGATACATTTTATTATTTGGTTTTCAAGTCCTTTTTTTAAAAAAAAATAGCTTTATTGTATTCTACCTGCTTTGTCTATACGGCAGAGCCTCCCATTTTTTTTTTTAAGTTGAAGTAAAAAATATATAGCAACACGTGTGCTATTTCATCTTGTTTACATGTATAATTTTTTGATACTAATTACATTTATCATGTTGAGTACTTGTCACTATCCAAAATTTTTATCATCCATTACAGAAATTCAGTACCCCTTAATCAGTGACTCCTTGTTAATTTTCCCCTTGCACCAACAACCATGACTAGTAATAAACTTCCCAGGGGACCCCCTAGCTTAATTACAACAATTTCAGACAAGGATTTTAGCCTCCCTTGATCATTTACCCCTGGATTGTCCACTCATTTAGACCACTTAATTAGAGTATGATGGGGCGTTTTCCCCCAAAGAGGACTGCATTTTCTACAAGAAGAATGAGGGCAGCTGCTGAGTCAGATTTCTCTCAGAAATGTCTAATCCTATTATTTGGGTTTAAATTCACTTTTCTCTTTTCCTTGTCTTTATGACTAAACATCTTTTAAAATGGTTTATGCCCATACATTTTCCTCTTGTTCTTTTTTCTATTTTGATATTTTGCTAAAAGCAACTGTAACAAGCATGTTAAGGTACATTTTTTTGTTCATATTTGCTCTCTTGGAAATATTTGGCATTAACTCCATTCCTTTTGTAATACTTTAAAAAAAAATTCTGTCATACCACTTTGTTACCAGTTTTTCCACCTAATTTCTTAGGTACTCTCTTTTCGCCTTTCACTTGAATTTCTCCTATTTTCTAGCATTTTAGATCTATCCCCAAGCTTTCTGTGCCTATATACTTTTTTCTTTTGGTTACTTCATACAAATCCATGGCTTCAAATACCACTAAACACTGATGACACCCTCTTCTCTGTATCCAGTGCATTGTCTTCTCAACTTTTGAGCTTCCCTTATCCAAATGTCTAATAAACATTGTGACTTGTATTGTAGACACCACATGGTTGTTTGATAAAATCAAACCAAACCCATTACACTTGAGTTGATTTTCAGTCATTCTGATTCTACAAGACAGAGTAGACTTGCCCCTCAGGGTGTCTAGCATATAGGGAAGCAGACTGCCAAGTCTTTTTCCTGCCAACCTTTTAAGCAGTGGAGTACTGATACCACTGTGCCACAAGGACTCCATGGCTGATAATTCTGACCTACTAGTCACCATTTTATTCAATGGCACTGCCATCCAGTCATCTATGCTAGAAGCTTACAAATTGTCCCAAACTCTTGTGTCTTTTCTCTCTACTGCCACATTTATTTGTTTCTCATATTTCTGTCCTTTTCTCATGGCTTTTTGCTGGTAGAGTGCCCTAGTTCTCCATGTTGTTAGCTCTCTTAGCTTCCTGGTGTTGATATAACAAAAAATACTGGAAATGAGTGACTTTGAAGGACAAAAACTTATTTTCTAACACTTCTGGAAGCCAGAAGCCTGAATTTAGTGCATCAACTCTAGAAAAGGTCCCTTCTTGGTTTTTTGTGGGTTGATACAATGGACTGCAAAGTCGGTAGTTGGATCTCACCAGCGATTCCTCAGAAACCCTGTATACATCGTCACTGTGGGTCGGAACCGACTTGATGGCACTTAAGAACAACAACAGTAGTTGCCAACAATACTTTTTCCATTTCTAGGCTTACATTTGTCTCCATCTTCTCTCTGTGTGTGTCTATTTTAATATGACAGCACTCAGAGGAATTAGGTTTAGAATTTATTATACTCAGGTTGTTGTTGTTGTATGCCATTGAGTCGGTTCTAACTTATAGCGACCCTGTACAGGGTTTCTGAGGCTGTAAATCTTTACAGGAACAGAAAGCCTCATCTTTCTCCCACAGAACAGCTAGTAGTTTTGAACTGTTGACCTTGAGATTAACAGCCCCCATTTGTAACCACTATGCTACCAGAGCTCCTTCAGATATGACTTCATTAATATAACAAAAATACTTCCTGCTTCCAAACAGGGTCATATTTATATGAGGGGGCTCAAAAAAGTGAAATGATAAAAAAAAAAAAAAAAGATTTAGTTTTTCCACAAGCTCTTTGAAGCCTACTTGTAGGTAAAGGGATAGGTTTTAATGAAATTTTCTGGAGGACACAATCTATAACATCAGCTTCACTTAAAAAAAATCTTCTAAAAATGTTGCCTAAATGCTAGTAGCATTTAAAGTTCCTTTCTAGAATCTTTTATTAGCCATTCAAATACTTTAGGAAAAATTTTTTAGCTTCTCACACAGAGTCCTTCATGACTCTCATCATCTGTATGCCATTCATAATCTGACTCCTTTCTTTTGCAGTATTATCCTTGATTTTAGGTTAAGCAGAGTTTAAGTAAAAGAAAGCTTGGATATCACAGAACTAGAGGAATATTATGCGATCTTAGAAGGACACGTAGATAATTAATACATCAAACTCTGATTAAGAACTCCAGGTTCTTAAACTTAGCATGTCACTTTTCAGAGGTTCATATTTACTCATTCTTTACCACTGTTTGAATATTTTAAAGGGAAAAACAAATACATATACACATATCAAATACGCTATCAACTTCTGAAAGCTTTTTAAGGCACTTAAGACTTGCTAGGTTGTGGGATAACTGGCTGTTACTGCTAGTCATACATACTGTAAGCTCTTATTTAAATTTTATTTTATAATTAGCATTGTTGTCTTAGAATTAGAACAAGTCCATAAAGAAGTCATTGAGACAGCAGAAGAATATTTTTTGTAGAATTTTGAGCTTTTTAAAAAATTAATAACATTTTGAGTCTTGGCAGGTACTAGCAATAAGTGGAATTTAATGTTTTAAATTTTCTTTTATAGATATCTTCAGGAAGTAGGTTATACAGATACAATATTAGATGTACGTTCTCAGCGGGTAAGGTCATTACTTGGACTATCCAATTCCGAACCAAATGGATCCGTAGAAACAAAAAATTTAGAACAAATCCTGAATGGAGGTGAATCTCCGAAACCAAAAGGACAAGAAATCAAAAGGTATGCATTATATCTGTAGATTAACATTTTCTGTATAATCAACAAGATGTATCTTTTATCTCCTTGTTACTATTGTTAATTTGAAAGCAAATAGAGTTTAGATTTAAAGACTTCCCCCTCCACTTCTCCTCTGTTGCCATTAGCAAATACATTTTCTATTTTAGATGCATTTTAACTTTATTAGGTTTTAAAGCCAAGAAAATACCTTCGTTCTAAAATGAGTTCAGATTTAAAATGAAAAAATTGTGGATGATTTCATATAGTTCAGGGTTATGTTCACATCATGATTTTGATTTTTAAAATTATGGTGGAGTATTTTCAATATCTCATCAGCCTCTCCTCGGAAACCTTATGCAAGGTTGCTGTGAGACAGAACTGATTGAACTTCAGCATTACTATGAAAAAAACCCTGATAGGTCTGCAAACCACAAAATACATCAATTTGAATCTACCAGCGATTTGCTGGGAGGAAGATAAAGCTTTCTGTTCCTGTGACGATTTCTAGCCTTGGAAACCCTTTCCAGGAATTGCTAAGTTGGAACCAACTCCACGGCACACCACCCCCACTACCGTGAAAGAAACAAAGCTTTGTGTTGTGTTTGAGCTCTGGAAGCTACTAGACATACTTTAAAAAAACATCTTGTTACTGTTACTTGCCACAAAGTTGGTGGTTCAAGCTCCCTAGCCGCTCCTCAGAAACGGTTGCTGTGAGTTGGGGTCGACTCAGTGGCACTAACAACAACAACAGGAACTATTCTCCCTGATCTCCTCCATCCCTAGACACTCACTACTCTGCTAACTTTCTGTCGATTTTTGCTTATTTTGGACATTTTATATAGTGTGTTTTCTGTCTGGCCTCTTTAATTTATCTTAATGTTTTCAAGGTTCAGCCATGTTGTAAGCAGTAGCATGTTACAGTGCTTCATTCCTTTTAATTAACAAATAATATTCTGTTCTATGAATAGATTCATTTATTCATTGCTTGTTCAGTTGATGGATACTTGTACTGGTTCTGTTCTCTGGATTAATTCTTTTTTTTTTTTTAAGGTTTTTTATTGTGGATTGAGTCAAAGTTTATAGGGCAGATCATCAGTTTTACATTCAACAAATCATATACCTTGTTTCATTACATTGATTATAATCCCCTCCATGTATCATCAGTTTACAGTATTTTTCTCTATCCACTTTAGCTTTTTAAAAAAACACACAAACAAAAAAACCCATTCAGGCATATATAATAATTTACATCTCCAAAGGGCACATTCTGCAAGTCTGCTCCTGGCCACCAGCTCTTAGTCCTTCTCTTCTTAGTCCATGAATCTAGAGTCCTCAGCCACTCCCCCTCTCCATGCCCCCGGCACTGCTTCTCTGGATAAGGTCCCTGCACTCTGCTTGTGTGTTCCTCTCTTGATGGTCCTAGGA